GATTTTTTTATTTTAATGTCATCTCCTAATTAAGCACATTATTGTTCAGTAGATTTTTCAAAAAAGTTTCATGGGTACAGAAATCCCTGAGTTCTTTCGTATTTGCAAACGCCTGCTAAATTCTTGAGGAACAATTTGGCTAGTATAATGGTACTCATTTCCTTCAGAATGCATAGTATTTTTTCCATTGTGTTCTGTCTTCTGTCAGCCTGCCATCCACCCACTCCCAGCATACTTCTCCACATGGGCATTTGACTTATTTCTTCTAGTGGAGTATCTGAAGAGTTTGTCTTTGGGGTTATATAACCAGATAAGTCTGACTTTAAATCTTTTATCACTTTTCTTTCTTCTCCAAAATAGTGTGCTCCTTTGGTCCACAGATTTATGTCTTCATGTAAGGAATTTTTCTTACATTAGATCTTTGAATATCCTTTAATTTGTTTTTTAGAGGACTCTCTATTTTAAGGATTTTTTTAAAGTAACTGTAATTTACATATGGTAAAATTCACTGTTCCATGAGTTTTGACAAATGCATAGTCATATAACCTATACAGAACAGTCATGATCCTAAACAGTGCTGTGCCATCTGTTTTCTGGCTTTAGAATTTTCACCTTTCTAGAAGGTCATAAATGGAATCTTGCAGCATATGTAGCCTTTTGTGTTTGGCTTCTTTTTGTTTAGCATAATTCATTTGAGAGTCATTCATGTTGTTCCCTGTATTAGTAGTTTGTTCATTTTTGTTGAGAACCATTTTACTGTTTGGTTATACCACAACTTGTCTGTCTATTCACCACTGGGATTTTGATGATTACAAATAAAGTAGCTGTAAGTGTTCCCTTAAAGGTTTTTTGTCATTAAGATCTTATTTTTCTTGAGTAAATATCTAGGAGTGGGATTGCTGGATCATATAGTAGAAGTATGTTTGACTTGTAAGAAACTTGCCAGACTGGTTTCCAAAATAGCTATACCATTTTTCTTTCTCACCAGCAAAGTTAACAGAATTCTCAGAAATCATGCTGCATTCTTATCAGTAAGTTAGTATAGTCAGTTTATTTGACTGTAGCCATTCTAGTGTGTGTGTGGTAGTGTCTCTATGATTTTAATGTGCATTTCCCTAATAACTAATGACACTGAGCACTTTTTTATGTGCTTATTTGCCATCCATGTGTCTTCTTTGATGACATATCTATTCAAACACTTCACCTATTTTTTAACTGGGTTGTTTTATTATTACTGAGTTTTGAGAATTCCTTTTATATTCTGGACACAAATGATATATTAGATACCTTTCTTATATTTTCTTCAAGTCTGTGGCATCTTAAAAATGAGTCTTCCAGTTCATGAACCCAGTATATCTTGCCCTTTATTTAGGTTTTTTATTTCTTTCACCAGTGTTTATAGCTTTCATCATTTTGCATCTTTACATATTCAAGATATTTACTTAGATTTCTATCTAAGTATTTCTTTGTTTTAATATCAGTTTCCAATTGTTTGTTACTAATCCACGGAAATATGATATGTGTATATTGGCTCTATATCCTGTGATCTTACTAAACTCACTTGTTTAATACCAATTTCCAATTGTTACTAATACATAGAAATATGATATGCATATATTGGCTCTGTGTCCTGTGATCTTACTAAACTGATTTGTTTAATATCAGTTTCCAATTACTGCTAATACATAGAAATGTGATTGATTTGAGTATATTAGCTCTGCATCCTGTGATCTTAGTATACTCGCTTGTTAGTTCAGTTGCATTTTTGTAAGTTCTGCGGAATGTTCTATGCAGACAATTGTGTTATGTGTGAATAGGGCAGTTTTTATGTCTTCAGTTCCAGTTTGTATGTCTTCTGTTTCTTTTTCTTGCCTCATATTGACTAGGACCTCCAACATGAAGTCCAATACAAATGGCCAGATAGCTTCTTTTTGTTTCAGGTCTTAGGGAGAAAGCATCCAGACTTTCAGACTTTTCATTCATAAATATCCTTCTCAAGTTGACAGTAGGGCATTGAAGAGGTATTGAATTTTGTCAGAAGGCTTTTCTACGTCTATCAAGATGACCATAATACCTTTTCTTTCACCTGTTAGAATGGTAGATTTCACTGACTAAAAGTGGAACCAACCTTACCTTCCCAGACTGAACCCTACCTGGTCACTGTGTATTATCTTTTTTATATACTTTTATATTTTGACTTGCTGAAATATCATTGAGAATTTTTATGTTTATATTCATGAGGGGTTTTGGTCAGGGAATTTTATGATTTAGTATCAGTTGTTCTGGCCCACGTTTTAAATAAGAAAATATATATATATATATTTACTGTTTATATTTTTCTTCCTTCCTTTGCGTATAGATTTCTCTGTAGTATAAAAGATTTCCTTCAACATTTCTGTTGCTTGGGGTTTCTGGTCTTTTCCATGCGTGAAAATGTTTTCATTTTGCCTTAACTTTTGAAAGATATTTTCACTGAGTGCAAAATTCTATGTTTACAATATTTTCTCTTAGTGCTAACTGTTGGTTTAAAATATCTCTTACTAGAAGTGTGATTTATTTCTTAGTTTCTCTGTATATGGTATATATTTTTCTGTCTGTTTTAAGATTTTTCTGGTTTATATTGTTTTTAAGTAATTTGATTAAGATGTGACATGGTATAATCTTAATCATGATTATCTTGCTAGGGCTTTGTTGAGCTTGGAACTGTGAGTTTATAGTTTTCATTAAGTTTGGGGAAATTTTGGCAATTATTTCTTCAAAAGGACTCACTTGTCTTCTTCCTTTCAGTTGACTTCTCTATAGTTGAAGTCCAGTTCAGAGACTCTGGTTTCACTTATATTAGATGGCTTGAATTTCTTTCACAGTGCTCTAATCCTTTGATTATTTTTATCTCTCTTTCATTTGAAATCATGTCTATTCTGTCTTCAGGTTCATTTATTTTTTTGCTGTCTTATAGGTAATTGGGGGGCTTAGGTATTTTATTTTTCATTTCTAGAAGTTTGATAAGGGTTTTTTAAATTATCTTCCATGTCTGTCTTTAAATTTTCCTCTATCTCCTTAAGGATGTGAAATAAAGGTATAATAATATTACAATGCCCTATTTATAAATGAACTCAAGTCATCTATATCATTTCTAAGTCGGTTTTGACTGATCGATTCCCATTTTAGGTTGTACTTTCCTGCTTTGCATGCCAGCCAGTTTTTATTAGCTGTCAGGTATAAATTTTGTTTTAAGTGGTGGATATATTTGTAAAGTTTTAGAAAGTATTCTTGGGCTTTGTTCTTGGACATTGGTTATTTACTTGGAGAGAATTTGGTCTCTTTGATGTTTGCTTGTAAGCTTTGTTAAATGGAACCAGTTACTCTTTAGTCTTATGGCTGACTTTTCTCTGTTACTGAGTAATAGCCTTTTGATATTTCTACCAAATGACTCATAGATCATAAGGGTGGTAAAACTCCCAGATACCACCCTCAAGCTTGAGCCCTTGAGTAATTTATTTATGTGATCAGTGCTTAACTAGAGCTTGATCTCTCTGTGGCTCTGTCACTTCAGGGTTCTGGCCTGTGAATTGTCTCTGCCTGTGAACTCAAGCTGCCCTTACTTCCCTGAACTCTCCTCTCCGTTTCTTCAAGTTACATAGACTAGCAGGCTCTGCCTGGATGCTTTACCCTAGGCTACACTCTTCCCAGGCAGAAAGATGGGCCAATCCTTGGGCTCACATTGTCTTCTCTCAGAAATTACTACCTTACATTGTTTGTGGTTTATTATCTGAAGAACCATTATTTTATTTATTTTTTCCCATTGCTTATTGCATCTGCTCACTGTTTTGCCATCTTTACCTAAATTTAAGGTAATGATCCCAAGCCTTTCTCCATCAGTAATTTTATTTTTAGCTGTCTCTTGTGTTCCTTGATAGTTAATAGTTCCTTAAGGTTGTTTTTCCTTTTCCCATTTCTTTCTTTAGCCTTTTAATTTCCCCTTTCCATTTTGCTCTATTCTTATTTCATTTGGGGTTTTTTTTTTTAGCTTATTATTTTTCTGTAACATAAGTGAAATGGTAAGAGAATACTGAGTTATGTTTGTATCAAACCAGATTGTTTATAACTTTGCTTTATTTCTTTCTTTGAGGGGAGCTGTTTATTTTTAGTTTTTGCTATAGTATGTTTGCTTAGTTACTGTGACATTTCTGCTGGAACTTGTTGAAGTAGCTCTGTTCCCACTTTATATTGGTTGCTATAGTGTATCTAGCTACATTATTCCCTTACTATGATATCTAGGACACTTTTCTCCCAGAATTATGGGTCTAGGGCTGGAATATCCTAGTTCATCCAACTTCTAAAGTATAACCGTATGGTGGAGCTCAGTCCAGCTTATGGTCAGTCTCTTAGACTATTACTGTTTGCCTTTTTCAGATATTTATTGTTAAATGCTCTGTACCAGTGTTCACCTCTCCTGGACAGGAAGCTACCCTATTCCCTTGGGATATACTACTAGTTTATTTTAGAGTTTATTGGAGACAGCTAGGCCCAGTTATTTACATACCTGACTCTTGTTATAGTTTTTATTTTGGTATTACCATCACCAAATCAAAAGAGGTTAAAGATAGAGGTGACAATACACTTTTTTTTCTTCCTGGAAGAAAAAAATTCTTGGAATTTTGTGAATTCAGTAGTATGATTTTGGGGAGCCAAGGGTCAAGGGCTAGAGGTTTGCTTAGCAGCTATGCTACTCGTGATTATTAGGTTTTTTTCTTCACTGAGCTTTGGTTGCTTTTGGTGATTTTTTTTTTCCTCTTGGTTATCTCCATGAATTTATTCATTTTGCTTAGTATACAGTGCAAGGGCTTTTTTTGTTTAACTTTGTAGATAATATATAGGTATCAAATACTTTTTGACTCAGTAATAACTTCGCTTTTTTTTCCTTTTTGAATAGGTAGAATTTAAATTTTCTTTGTATCATTTTAAGCTGTACTGATTTTTAATAATACTCTTTTTCCCAGATACCATGTTTGTGTGGCAGTGCGCCGTGTTTGCTGTGCAGATGCTGTCCGAGTGGAAACAACTCGACTGTAACTAGACTGATCTATGCATTTTTCTTGCTTGTTGGAGTGTGTGTAGCTTGTGTAATGTTGATACCAGGAATGGAAGAACAACTGAATAAGGTTAGTTTTTTTCTTATTTATTGGCTAATTGAAGCTGTATTATGTGTGTACAAAACTGATTTCTGGTTATTGAAAAGAGAATAATGAATAATTAAAAAGAGAATTACATATTATAAAAATAAGATAATATGTAATCCAAATTTTAGTAAGTTAAAATCTTTTAGGAAAGATAAAGATAAGTTAGCTCATTTTATAATGTTGATGATGGATGTGCTGTGTTCATTAAGGAAAAAGGTAATTCTTACTAGGTGAGTATCAGAATGTCAGGTTTCATAGAAAAAGGGACATTCTAAGAATGATTAGAACTTTTGTATGCTATGATTGAAAAATAAGAAGCCCATGAGTATAAAAGAGCTTTTTGAGTGGAGTGTCTGTGTTTTAAAAAGGTTCATTTAGTAATTAGGAAAGTATAGAAGTCAAATCGTTAAGTGTGGAGGCTGTTGCAATGATGTAATCAAGAAGTATATACAGGGCCTGAAATAGATTTTCTAGATATGGAATTGACTGAGTCTGGCATTACATTAAAGATTGCCAGTGATAGAATCATAAATAACAGCCAGGTTCTGATCCTAGAAAACTGGGAAGAAAGTGTTTCTGTTAACCCAGAAAGAAAAGTTGTTACTAAAGAGTGTCCCCCACCCCACCAAGGGAGTCAGGTGTGGAAGGATATGGGGAACATAAAATAAATTTAGTTTCTGTCATGTCAACTTTGGGAACTTGCATAATATGTATCTTAGTCAGTTTAGGCTGCTGTGACAAGAATTTAATAGGCTTAACTAGCAGAAATTTCTTTCTTCATTCTGGAGGCTGAAAATCCAAGCCAGGGTTCCTGTTGTGGTTGGGCTCTGGTGAGGATCCCCTCCCTGGTTTACAGATGGCAGTCTTCTTCCTCACATTGCTGAGAGAAAGAAACAAAGCTCTCTCATATCTTTTCCTAAAAGGCCACTAATTCCCTCATGAGGGCTTCTTTCACTCATCTAATTATCTCCCAAAGGCCCCATGTCTCGGGGTCTTCCCCTTGAGTGTTAGGGTTTCAGTATTCAATTTCAAGTAGCAAAAACATGAAGTCCATAATGTAGGAAGTAGAAAATATAAGTGTACAATTCAAAAGGGAAATCAAGGGAAATCAGAGCTAGAAACTGTCTTGAGGACAGAGATTGAGAATTGATAGCATGGCACTGTATGCTGAAGACCATTTAAAGTGAGCAGAGCTCAAGTTTTGCCAACAGGTCTTAATTAAGGGAGTTGATGGAAAAGGGAGACCTGAAGGAGTGAAAGAAAAGGAGAGCCAAGACAAGAGAATGTATAGGCTTTAGAAAGAAGGTGTTCAGATGACAGGGACAGTGTCCATGTGAGAAAGAGATTAAGGAATGTGAGGATTAAGCCGTAGCCTTTAAGTTTGACAACTCGTACGTGACTAGTTGTTTCTTTAGAGTGCTGGGGGCTGGAAGTAGTGGCAGGAAGTTATTCTTTTATATGTATTATGTATATGAATAATATATGAAGTTCTGAATAACAGTTCCCCTTATTTCACATGCAAATTCTTCTTTGTGTTCTGATTCCAGTCTAACTTTCTGAAAAAGTCATTAGTGTTTTTTAAGATTCTGAGTTAAAACATGAGACTGTCAGCTGTTATACTGTTGAGCCAAATCCATTCATGATCAAAAATAGGACTTGTATTAACTAGAGTAAGGAACCAGAACAAAAAACTGATTTAAGTAATACTGGTTGAAAGCCATTAATGTTCTTTTTAGTACCTAGAGGCAGACTTAGTTGCTCCATGAGTCTTTAAGCTTTTAATAACTTTTTCTCTTTATGCACATAGATGCAACTCAGTATATTTCAGTAGAATGCAAGTTTTAAGAATTCATAAATCTATAGCTCAGTAAGCATCCAGTTTAGTAGTGGGATAGGTAGTTTATCATTTGGTTACATAGAAGTTCAGAACTCTTTCATTTTCTCTGTTTAAACTATATCAGACTCATCTTGGTGGTCTTCAGAGTCTGTAAAAGAAGCTCCCATTTTCCAACCCAACTACTTGATTACATAGAATTTTCATTTTTGCCTAATGAAAATGTTATGGTTCATAAACTCTTGTTTTAACATTTTTTCTAGATTCCTGGATTTTGTGAGAATGAGAAAGGCCTTGTCCCTTGTAATATTCTGGTTGGCTATAAAGCTGTCTACCGTTTGTGCTTCGGCTTGGCTATGTTCTATCTTCTCCTGTCTTTATTGATGATTAAGGTGAAGAGTAGCAGTGATCCTAGAGCTGCAGTGCACAATGGGTAAGTTACTGACTAAATCTCAATATAAAAGTCTGGGCAGCCTCTTGTCAGTAATTTGTAATCTGTCTAGAGTAGTGTTTTTCAACCTCATTAATCTCACGGCATACTTGAGCCTATAATTAAACTTTGTGGCACACTTAAATTATGTTGATCAAAAAAAAGAGCAAAGAAAGAATATACTACTATGCTTTGAACTTCTTTCAAAATGATTTAATTGGTGATCTTTAAAATTTTTCATAGTACACCTAAGGTCTCTCACAGCTCACCGTGAGCCATGGCACACAGGTTGAAAATCACTGATCAAGAGAAACTGTAAGGTGAATTAAACTTACATAATTTGCAGTTATTTTGTCTATACATGAATGACAAGGTTTAAGGAAATGTTCTTGTCTATTCTAGAGAAATTTATTTGGATATTAAATAATAGCCTTGATTAGTTAATAATTCACTTCTGATCTATAGTGGGTTTTATTTTTATCATAAAAAGAAGAACTATCATATTCGTGACTATTAAAGCAAGAGCTGTTTCTTAGACCTAAAGAGCAGCCAAAATAGAAAACTTCATACCTAAGCAGGATATTGATTTTTGTAAACAGTGGGTTGCACTGTACAACTTAAAGAAACCACAAGGCTCCTTTTATCAATTTCCCTTAGTAGAGAGAGCACCACTTCCAGTACTCTATCTGAATAGTGTTTTGATTTAATATCTGCTATTGCTTATCTGATGGTATGTACTACTAAAGACAACAGGAATAAACAGTGGCATATAAATATTAATGAAAAATAGGTTGTTTTTTTTTGTTAATTTTATTCCTTTAGTGGTTGATTGTTTTGAAATACCAGTTTTGGATGGAGACATTATTGTGCATAAATTAAAACTATTTGTACAGTGCACCTTGAACTTTCACATATTACCCCTGTTGTGTAAAATAAACCTGTGAAGTGGAAATCAATTTTTATTTTATCATAATGACTTACTGGCAAATAGCTTTCTTAAAACTGTCTCAAAAGTAGTTTAATGTAATAGTCATCTTTTCTGATTTTCAGGATCTCCTCAGCCTAGAATAATCATGTAGAGTGTTGCTGTTCTATAAGATTCTGTTAAATTATTCAATGAGTGTTTATTAATAAAATATTATATTTTCTTTTTTGTTTTAGATTTTGGTTCTTTAAATTTGCTGCAGCAATTGCAATCATCATTGGGGCATTCTTCATTCCAGAAGGAACTTTTACAACTGGTAAGAAATGTTTTTTTTCTTAAATAGTTTCATGTGGATATTTTATGTAGTAATCCAAAATAATTGTTACCTGGAAGTTGTTACTGTAGTTGTTTTTTGTTGTTGTGTTGTATGTATGTTTGTTTTCTCCCTTGTTTATATAGCATTTATATAAAATTTCTTAGTCCCTTTTGTGTATAATTATGAAAATGACATAATACCAACCAAACCAGTGCTCACTTGTATGTGTGCTTTTTCTTTTCTTTCAGTGTGGTTTTACGTAGGCATGGCAGGTGCCTTTTGCTTCATCCTCATACAGCTAGTCTTACTTATTGATTTTGCCCATTCGTGGAATGAATCATGGGTTGAAAAAATGGAAGAAGGAAACTCAAGATGTTGGTATGCAGGTAAGTTCTATCTCACAGAACAACCTCACGATAATTGAGGATGAGAGTAGATAACGTAGAGTATAGGAAAAAAATCACTTAGGATTTTTTTCTACGAAGAGGTTTTTAGTTTATAAGTTTGTGGGTGGTATCGTGTCATGCTATGTCAGCAACTTGTTGAGTGGCTCTTTTGTTAACTGGGAACATACGTAAGACCAGGAAAGAATCCAGAAGAATCCATATAGCTAAAATAAATGTTCCAAAGCCTATTGCTAAAAGCGTGTATATTATATAATATAATTTCTTAGCCTACAGCAGATTGACTGTAAAATATTAAAGGGAAGAAGACTGCTAGAAATAGATAAATACAATGGTGCAATTCATGAACAATAGCGATCAGAACAAATATAAAAAACCACTCTAGAACATTTTATTTTCCTGCAAAGCATACTTTTATGTGTATCAGTAACAGCTAAGGTAATTCCTGTAGTAGTACAGTTAATAATTATTTAGTTATAGAGAGTTTGAATCCTACAGATACACACTAAATCAGGAATCAGATACAGATGCTTACAGGGGTCAAACAGTTTAAATGAGGGAAGAGCACTAAGTGTAAGAGGACTGAGTTTAAGTGCATACTCAGTCTTTGGGCAGGTAGACAGGACAGTGATGAATTAGAGTGTGAATGCCCCTTTTAAAGTGCATAACTAGTGCTCAGCTCTATCTATCAGTTGCCTTGTGAAAATAAAGTTCAGTATTACTGGATTATTCTTTGAAGAAGCCATACATCTGGATTTTTATGTAAAATAATCTGGTTTTTAGCTAAACACAAACTTACACAAAGTGCAAGACAAGTTCAATGTATCCGTTGGCCTGATACTTCTCTAATACAATTAGTTTGTGGTATTTTGTCTCAGAGGTTAAAGTAAAAAGAATTTGACACTCAAAGAAATAAATTTCAGTCATTTGGAAACTTCACTTACATAGAATATCTTATTTAATGCAGAGTCTTCTATCTGTTTTATTCCTTGCCTAGAACAAAAGGGTCTGAAACGTAGACATCCAAAAATACACGTTGACTGTATCCCCTGTTGGTGAGGCAAATCCATATCCATACTTGTATATTGAACCCTTTTTAGCACAATGACTAAAATTTTGTGTATGTTAAAATTTATGTAGGAAAAGCTCTGGTTGACTTAATTAAATAATGGCTTACTCTTGCATATTATATATATTTTTTTAGATGCTAGTTGATGAAGAAAAGCATCATTGTTTTGTGAGCTTAACTTTAACAATGAAAACAATTTTCTTTCTTTTTTTTTTTTTTTTTTTTTTTGAGACAGAGCCTCAAGCTGTCCCCCTGGGTAGAGTGCCGTGGCATTACAGCTCACAGCAACCTCCAACTCCTGGGCTCAAGCGAGTCTCTTGCCTCCGCCTCCCAAGTAGCTGGGACCACAGGCGCCCGCCACAACGCCCGGCTATTTTTTGGTTGCAGCCGTCATTGTTGTTTGGCGGGTCCGGGCTGGGGATTCGAACCCGCCACCTTGGGTGTACGTGGCTGGCGCCTTAGCCGGTTGAGCTATAGGCGCCGAGCCACAATTTTCTTTCTTAATGTCCTTGTTTACCTGAATAATAATAGTTCTTTAAAAACCTTAAGTAATATTCCTCTTATAGTTATTTTTTCTTATTTTGAAAATAATGGCTAACTTAAGTGAATGTGATTTTTAAACTCGATAACATAGATACTACTACTACTAATAAAAATTATATTAGTATGTTACTTATTGTCCTTTAGAAAATGAAGTACTAAGCTGTGTGTAAAAACTATAAAACTCTTTGGCAATAAAGGTCAGAATTAATTGCATTCCCTGCTTTCATAGCCTGCACTATGCTGGTTATGTTAGTTGCTTAAAGTATATTTTTTATTAAAATGACATTGTTAAACAGGTCCCATGCCTAATTCCTAATGTTCGTGGTAAAAGCTAATTATCCAATTATATTTCCCTTGCAGCCTTGTTATCGGCTACAGCTCTGAATTACCTGCTATCTTTGGTTGCTGTCGTTCTGTTCTTTGTCTACTACACTCATCCAGCCAGTTGTTCAGAAAATAAGGCGTTCATCAGTGTCAACATGCTTCTCTGCATTGGTGCTTCTATAATGTCTATACTGCCAAAAATCCAAGTATGCTTTTCATAGCATTAGTTTTTATGAAACATGTACTTTTCTAAGTTTTCAAAATTCTAGAATAATACAAGAATATTTATCTTGCTTAATCTCCTTTTTGTAGGAATCACAGCCAAGATCTGGTTTGTTACAGTCTTCAGTAATTACAGTCTACACAATGTATCTGACATGGTCTGCTATGACCAATGAACCAGGTATATATTTTTGTGTGTTATTTATTTTTAATGAGCTCTGCATTCTTTCAGAGATTGCCATTTTATAAATTAAGCTACTTAAAAATGAGGCTTCTAGAGGAATAAAGAATGTAAGCAATACAATTTTTATCTTTGATACATTACTATTTTTAAATATTTTATTGCTAAAAAATGCTAATGGTCATGTGAGAACCTTCAGCAAATTGTTTGTCTTGATGTTGACGGTTGCTGACTGATCAGGGTGGTTGTTGCAGAAGGTTGAGGTTGCTATTTTGATTCTTAAAGGCAGTGAAGTTTGCTGCATCAGTTTTTCTTTCAAGAAATATTTCTATGTAGCGCACAAGACTGTTCAGTAATATTTTGCCCATAGTATAACTTCTTCCAAAATTGGAGTCAGTCCTCTCAAATGCTGCCTGTTTTATCAACAAAGTTTTGGTAATATTCTAAGTTCTTTGTTGTCATTTCAACAGTGTTTACAGCATCTTCACCAGAAAATAAATTGCGTTTCAACAAACTACTTTCTTTACTCATTTATAAAAGCAGCTCTTTACCAGTTGAGGTTTGATCATAAATTTGCAGCAGCTCAGAGTTCAGGCCCTAATTGTAATTCTAGTTCTCTTGCCATTTCCACCACATCTAAAGTTACTTCCTCTATTGAAGTCTTGACCCCTCAAAGTCACTTATGAGAATCAGTAGTTTCTAAGATCTATTAATGTTGATATTTTGACCTCTTCCCATGAATCACAAATGTTCCTAATGACATCTACTATGGTAAATCTTTTCCAGAAGATTTTCAGTTTACTGTGTCCACAACCATCAGAAACATCTTTCTCTGGCAGCTATAGCCTTCCTAAGTGTATTTATAAAAATTGAGAATTGAAAATCAGGATTATTACTTGATCTGTGAGGTACAGAATGAATGTTACCTTAGGAGGCATGAAAACAACATTAATTTCTTTGCCCATCGCCATCAGAGCTCTTTGCTGACCAGGACCATTGTCAGTGAATAGTAATATTTTGAAAGGGATCTTCTTCTGAGTAGTAGTTCTCAAAATTAGCCTTAAAATCTTAGTAAAGCTTTCTGTAAACAGATGGGCAGTCATCTAAGCTTTGTTGTTCATTTATAGAGCATAGGCAGCGTAGCTTTAACATAATTCTTAAAGGCCCTAGAATTTTGAGCATAGGCAGTGTAGCTTTAACATATTTCTTAAAGACCCTAGGATTTTTAGAATGATAAATGAACATTGGCTTCCATTTGAATCACTTGTTGCCTGCCCTTTGACGCTTTGGAGCCAGGGATTGATATTTCCTTTCTAGTTACGGAAGTTATAGATGGCATCTTCTTCTAATATAAATGCTTTCTCTTCTGTTCTTAAGTGTAGCCACCTTCATCAATTTTCTTAGCTGGATCTTTTGGATAACTAGCTGAAGCTTCTACATCACTCTTTACTTCGCCTTGCACTTTTATGCAAAGGATATGGCTTCTTTCTTTAACCCTAATTAACCAACCTCTGCTAGCTTCAGACTTAGCTTTTGGAACTTTACCTCTCTCAGCCTTAATAGGACTAAAGCAAGTTCGAGATTTGCTCTGGATTAGGCTTTAGCTTAAGGGAATGTTGTGACTGGTTCAATCTATCCAGACCCCTCAAACCTTCTCCATATTAGCGAGATGGCTGTTTTGTTCTTATTCTTCATATGTTCACTAGAATAACACTTCTGTTTGCCTTCCATAGTTTTTCCTTCATTCACAGCTTGACACCAGGAGGCCTGGCTTTTGATGTGCCTTTCTCTTTAAGGTTAATCATTTCTAGCTTTTGATTTGAAGTGAGAGATGTATGACTGTTCCTTTCACTTGAGTACTTAGAGTCTACTCTAGTATTATTAATTACTAGAGTAGACTAGAGTAGTGTCTCCTCTAGTAATTTCAATATTGTTGTGTCTCAGGGACTAGGGAGAGAGAGACTCTCTTTTATCGGTGAAATTTTGGTAATTATTATTAACACACACATTTATTCAGTTTATCATCTTATATGGGCATATATTCCTTTGTGGCACCCCAAAGGAATGTTACAATGGTAACATCCAAGATCACTGATCATAGTTCACCATAAAATGTATAATAATAATGGAAAAGTCTGAAATATTGTGAGAGTTACTAAAACGTTCATAGATGGGTGAGCATGACGTTGGAAAAATGGCCCTGATAGGTTTGTTCCACACAGGCTTGCCACAGATCTTCACTTTGTAAAAACCACAGTAGCTGCAAAGTGTGGCTTTTTTAAAAAGGCACAATATAATGAGAGGTATGCCTGTATCAGAATTACAAGAAAATGTCATTTGTACATTATTTAAGATTATTACATACAGAAAGAAATGCCTGCTGATTCAACTGTAAACAGTATAAGTTCTTCACATTACCAAATTACTCTATGACTACCTTGCAGTTGAATATGATAATTTGGCTTTGTAATGAATCTCTTTATAGACTAGTTATATTGGATTCCATGGGAATAGGAATCAGTATAAGTCAATTAGTGATAAATTATTTTTAGAAGATGAAGAAAATGATCTTCCTCCTAAAAAACATAAAATATGTTATCTGAATGTTGTTTCATTGAGTTTACAAACTGAAGGTATTTTATCACTTGGAGAAAGGTGGGAGTTAATTTTTGGTTTTCCTGATTTGTATATTAGAGAAACATTTTTCCTAGGTAAATGATTAGAAAAAAATTAGTAATTTACTTGGAGATTAGTTTTATCCCCCTGGCCTTAAGGTCAGAATTACGTTCATTAGTAAGATAGAGTTTGACAGATACTGCTTTGTGGGAGGAAAATATAAACTTTGGACTAATCCTATTTTAATTCCTTCTTTCAAAATAGTAAAGAAACTGAATATACTGTAAGTTAGTGTGCCTTATTTGGTCATTCGTTCAAAGTGTGTGTTAGGGTTCTCAAGAAAAAAATTTTTTTTGTAAGCTATCTTGCTTTTTCAGTAATGTACTTTGACAAACTGATAAAACTGATAAAGTCAGTATTATAATCTCACTCTTTCCTGCAGGAGGAAAGCCAGTGTGTTGTGCAGTGCATTTATAGAAAACCTGAGTTTTATTTCTGAATCTACTAGAATTTTACTAACCTTGGAAAGTCATCTTTAATTTTACTTCCTAATCAATAAAGAGACAGTATGTCTCTCAGCTTCGTGTGATTTAAAATTGAATGATTCAACTTTTCCAAGCATTTCTATAAAATTAGAACTATAAAACTTAAAAAGAAAAAAAAGAATCTCATTAATAAATATGAGTTGTTTTCAAGTATTTTGTTGTTATGCTTGTGCTTTTTCCAATAAAATTTTTTGATTTCACATGTGTATGAAGAGTTAAAAATTCCTATTGTGCTGTAAAAAATAATTTTTATGTTATTCTCACATTTTAATTTGGCCTTAATTTATGTTACAGAAACAAATTGCAACCCAAGCCTACTAAGCATAATTGGCTATAATACAACAAGCACAATCCCAAAAGAAGGGCAATCAGTCCAGTGGTGGCATGCTCAGGGAATTATAGGACTAATCCTCTTTTTACTGTGTGTGTTTTATTCAAGGTAAGAAAAACAAAGGAATTTTTTTTTTTAATGAGAAGTCTAGCTATCTTTTTATGAATTGCTTCTTTTAAAAATGCTCTTTTCCTTCTTTCTTCCTAAACTCTCTTTCTATACAGCATCCGTACTTCAAACAATAGTCAGGTTAATAAGCTGACTTTAACAAGTGATGAGTCAACATTAATAGAAGACGGGGGAGCCAGAAGTGATGGATCGTTGGAGGATGGCGATGATGTTCACCGAGCTGTAGATAACGAAAGGGATGGTGTCACTTACAGTTACTCCTTTTTTCACTTCATGCTTTTCCTGGCTTCCCTTTATATCATGATGACCCTTACCAACTGGTACAGGTACTTAACAGTTCATGAAAAGTTTGGATGTGGGTATTTTGGTGGTTTTTTAAGGACTCCTTTGTAAAACATGATAGGAAATACTTTTGTGTGTGTGTGTGTGTGTGTGTGTGCGCTAGCGCAGTTTTTTGGCTGGGGCTAGGTTTGAACCTGCCACCTCTGGACATGGGCCTGCCGCCTCCCGACCGGCGGGCGGCGGCGGCGTATGAAAGGGGAAAACAAATAAGACAAGACAGACACATTGGGAAAGGGACTGAGCCGAAGCTGTTTATTGTAATAGGTAGGGGTTTTTATAGGTTTAGTTAGTGGGGGAACGAGGGGTACTTCTAGATTTGGTTATGTATGTAGTCCTGGTTTGTGATAGGCTAGTATTGTGAGGATGAAGTAGGAAGAAGGTGGAGAGTAATATGAGTAAATTTCTTTGGAATGTGTGCACGTGTTAAACCGCCTCTGGTCTTTTGTATCGTTTTTCTTAATCAGCAAGGTCGCTAGGCGCCTCCTTCTAAGATGCACTTTCACTTGAATGTGCTGTAATATAGTTGTTAACCCTTACATGGGTCCAGTGCCTTACCCCTTTGAGCCCCATGCATGGCCCTAAAATACTTTTTAATTGTGATGTATTTCAGTATTTACAGCTAAAAAATAGTGATCAGCATGAGAAATGCAAACTTTTTACCTCCTTACTTTAGCAATAATGGAATCATTAAAATAGTTCTAAATCGATTAAAATAAAATATTTCATGAAACTAACAGTTTTTAATGGAAATGTATGTTGATACTTGTTCTGATATGTTTATTTTTTAATATTGTTAACTAATTCCCAACATAGGGCAGTAAAAGGTAACTCCTGTTCTGTTTGAACTTTATCAGAAAAAGCTCTGAAAGTTATTCAATTGAATATAGTCTTAGAATTCTTTAAAACTATAATTTATATTCTTTTCATCATTTCAAAATTAATTTGTAAATCTTGTAAGAATAGGTAGCAATTTATAGTATTTCTTTTTTTAAAATTCTAAATTTGTCCAAAGAAAGATTTGGCTAAGGTTCAAATTGAAGTGTAATGTTTTGGTTGTTACTAATAATGTTTTAATGTATAATACCCTTAGATAATTTATACAAAGGCTTTCATTACCAGCAAAAGATGAAGAAGAAAAAATTCTTCGCTGCATTTCTTTGAGATTAACCTTCACTGATTTTATTATTAAAAAGACTGTATTTTATAAAATTCCTACCCTATAGCATATTCTAAGGTATAAGAATCCAAGTCAGGCATCCTCAAACTATGGCCTGCAGGCCACATGCAGCCCACCAAGGACATTTATGTGGCTCGCTGGGTGTTTTTGCCATCGCTGCCTGTCCTGCTTAGTAGCTGACTTGTCCTGGGGCCTGCAGTCTGGCCCTCCAGTGGTCTGAGGGACTGAACTGGCCCCTGTTTAAAAAGTTTGAGGACCCCTGATCCAAATAGTTCTTAGTAATTGAGGCTTCAGCTGTCAGATAATAATAAATGTTAAGACTTTAGGCCAGAAGGAGTTTTGGTATGATTCATTAACACAAAAATCAGCTGAACTTGGTGGGATAAATTTCCTTCCCAGTCTCTTACATTCTGAGATCAGAATGAGGGGCTTTTAAATATACCTCAAACAATCTTCTGCATAGGTCATTATGAAAGTTTTGAGACAGACTGTTATAGTCCATTATTTTACTTCCAAGAAACATAGTTGACAGCATCCTTTCTGATGCACCCAGGCAGATTTCAACTCACTTAGCTTATAGTGTTGTGGGGAGAGCCTTGTTTATTTCCATCTGTGTGGATTTTACATTTCTTGATTTTTGTATATCTCAAAAGTTTGACCCCCAAAATAGTAATGTCTTATTTATCCAGAGGTTACATTCTGTTTTTCTTATAATAGCATGTCAGAAATAAGTACCTCCAAGTAATTATTTCAGAGACCTCTGTACTTACTCCATTAAAGGAAATTATTGATTTTTATTTTCACATTGTGTGGAAAGCAAGATAGAAGATTAGATGCAGCAACTGTGTATCTGGTATATATAGAACACTGCTGAGTTAAAGAAGTATCATAGCTTGATGGTTGATAATCCAGTTCCCTCTGCCCTTTTAAAAAGTTTTTCCTTAAATTTTAGGTATGAACCCTCTCGTGAGATGAAAAGTCAGTGGACAGCTGTTTGGGTGAAAATCTCGTCCAGTTGGATTGGCATCGTGCTGTATGTTTGGACACTGGTGGCACCACTTGTTCTTACAAATCGTGATTTTGACTGAATGGGACATCTAGCATGACAGTCTCACTTCAATCATTGCTTATTTGAAGAGTATTCCAAACTTTTGTAAAGTTGTGTATATGTGTGTTTCCCATGTATCTTTTCCAGTGTTGTTCGGCATGAATTAGATTTTACCGCTTGCCAATTTATTATTTTCTTGCCAAGTGCACTGATACGTGAGTTAGAATGAATTGTGAAGGGAGAGTATTATGAATAAGGTGTTAACATTGTTAGGCCCTGTCCTCTGCCCTGTACCTGTGAAATTAAGAATGAAAACAAAACCGTTTGACAGTTTGATTTTAAAATTGTATCAGACCTTAAGCTGTCTTAGAAAGTTTTATAAAAGCAAATGCATGGCTGCCTTTTGAAATATTTGATATATTACATTGTCTTTCAGGAGACCTCAAAGAAGGCGGCTATTGTAAAATTGTCTAAACAAGTCATTTAAATGGCAGTTGTCTGAAAAATCTTTTCAGGTTTTCTTCTTGATAGGAAAGTAGGGGAGTGTTTGCTGGACAATACTGTAGGTCTTATAGATGGGGCTTGAAGCAGAGTCATTAAAGAAAGTTAGATTAGTGGCAGTAGGTACTAAATTGAATACTCTTGGGTAGAGATGGCTGTTGCCAACAAAATGAACATTGTTTTGGTCATTATAAACTCTTGCAAAAGTTTGGGTTAACAGAGATACTAGAAACTGAAGGATTAGGCAAGGTTTTGAAAAGGATAATCATGGGTTAGAAGGAAGCTATTGAAAGCTGTTTTGAAAGGTTTGAAAATCAAAGGTGGTAACTTTTTAGAGGGTAGGGAAAAACTACAAAATACTAGACTTTTTATAGGTACTTTGATAAAACCTACTCTAGTTCTCTTTTTTAAAATGAAGAAACTGAAAGTCATTCTTATTTGTTCAAATAGCCAATTAGTAGCAAAGCTGCGAAGTTCCAAGGCAACCATTCTCTGTGACATTGAAAAATAATTTCTATTCAAAATACTTGCATAATTGATTTCACACCTCATTACTGGTGGGTAATTTATGTGATGTGGATTGCTGGTGTTCAGCATGCTTTCTGCCTATAAACTGAGGTCTGGAGAATGGTGGAGTATTTTAATAAACTTCTGCTTATAGTACACTACATAGTTCAAAAGATGTTTAAAATGCTTTTGTATTTACTGCCAAGTAGATGAAATATATAATTATTATATTTCAAGCAAATCAAAAAATCTGACAGTAAACTTAGAAATTCTTAGTTGTTTTGTGTCATTAGTGTCTAATGAAGCTTTTAAAATCTACATTTGCATCTTTAAAAGTATTTATTAAAGTAAATGGTATATAACAATTCATCTTATTCCTCAACCTTACTGTGTGTGTGTTGCTATTGTGTTCCACAATTTTGAATGCCTGTGTTGTATCTCTAAATAAATGAATCCAGAGAAAGTGTGTAGTGTATTTTTTAGCAACTCAAATTTAGGTGGCTGTAGTAATACTCAGACTTCTTTTCTTTCTATATAAAAAAGAACCTGACACTAGAAAGTACCTATTTTCTGTCCCCAAAACTGAATTGTTTTGAAGATACTTTTTACCCTTTGGTTGTCTGTTAAGTAATCCCTGAAGTTGGATCTCAGAGGTAAAATGGTGTTCTCATCCTAAAGAGCCTTCAATAGGTTAATTAGTTTGGAGAATATTTTTACTATCTATCTTTTTTTTTTTCTAGTTGCCATCATGCTTCTCTTCTCACTGACAATTGAGATCGTATAGAAATTTCCCTTATTAGAAAATACAGAAATCCAGTTCTACCAATAAAATATTCCAACCTGGAAGAGCTGCCAAATTTTAATGTATTTTATTCAATAATTATTTTGAAATGGTCAGTATTTTGGGTAGCACAATGCCAATGGAAGTCTCAGGCATTTATCCCAAATCATATGTTCACACAAAAATCTGTGTACATAAATGTTCATAGCAGTTTTACTTATAATAGCCAAAATTGGAAACAATGCAGATTTTTTCAGGTAGTAAATGGCAAACTATAATACATCCGTATCGTCTAACACAGTAAAAAAGGAGTGAACTTTTAGTACATGTTACAACTTGAACGATAGGTGCAAAAAGCCAAACCCCAAAGATGGCATACAGTACAATTCCATTTATGCCATGTTTAACATCTTGCAATGTTAATATCATAGAAAAGGCAAATGGATTAATGGTTGCTTGGGGTCAGGGATGGAAGAGGGGAGAGAGAAAAATCCTTGTGGATCATGTGTTGTGGTGCCCTTGGTGTGATATGTAAAATGCCATTGCATACTCAAGGCCATCTAGATTTTTTTTTTTTGCTACCTTATATACATTTTATAATTTTGCATGTATGTGATGCATTTTGAGTTAATTTTGGTGAAGAGTGTAAGGTCTGTGTCTAGATTTCATTTTTTGCATGAGGATGTCCAGTTGCAGCACTGTTTTGAAAAGATTATCTTTGCCCCATTATATTGCCTTTGTCCCTTTTTAAGAAATTGATAGGTAGGTCTATTTCGGGGCTATGTGTTCTATTCCATTATCTGTTTGTTCCTTCACCCATACCAGACTATATTGATTACTGTAGCTTTACGCTAAGTCTTGAAGACAAGTAGTATCAGTCTTCTAAATGTCAGTTTTCTCCTTCAATATTGTGTTAGCCATTGTGGGTTGTTTGCCCCTGCATATAAACTTTAGTTATCAGTAACAACAAAATTGCTGATTTTGACTGGGATTGTACTGAATCTAAAGATCAAGTTAGGAAGAACTTGACAAAACTGAGTTGTCTTATCCATGAACATAGAATATTTAGTTCTTTGATGTCTCTCATCAGAGTTTTATAACTTGCTTCATGTAGATACTGCACATATTTTGTTAGATATATACTTAAGTATTTCATTTTGGGGATGCCAATATAAATGACATTGGGTTTTTAATTTCCAATTCCATTTCTCATTGCTAGTATGTAAGAAAGCAATTTCCTTCTGGATATTAAGCATATATCCTGCAACCTTGCTGTACTAGTTTTGTCTGTTCTTTTGGATTTACTTCATAGGTGACTGTGTCAGAGACAATTTTAAATTTTAGTTCTTCTTAAGCACTATACCTTTTATTTCCTTGTCTTACTGCATTAACTGGGACTTTTGTTAAAATACTGGAAAGGAATAATTAGAAAGGACAGCTTTGCCTTTATCCTGATCTTGGTAGGAAAGCTGTTAATTTCTCGACATTAATTATGTTAACTGTGGGGTTTTGGTAGATATTGTTATCAAATTGAGAAAGTTCCCTTCCACTACTATTTTACTAAGAGTTTTTAATCATGAATGGGTTTTAGATTTTGTCAGATACTTTTTCTTAATTTAATGATAGAATTATGTGATTATTCTTTAGTCTGTTGAGATGGATCATATTATTAATAATTGATTTTCTACTGTTGAATCAGCCTTGCATACATGAGATAAATCCCATTTAGTTCTGGTGTATAATTCCTTTTATACATTGTTGTTTTGATTTGCTAATTTTTGTTGAGTCTTTTTACATCTATGAGAGATTATAGTTTGCAGTTTTATTGTCTTGCAGTAGTTTTTTCTGGTTTTGGACCTCATAGAATGAATTTGGAAGTATTCGCCTTGTTTTTTCCTCCTGAAAGAGTTTGTTGAAAATTGATAGTTTCGTCTTTAAAAATGTTTTGGGGAGAGTCTTCCTTGGTTGCCTTCAGTAGAATGCTGTAGCGTCACAGCTCACAGCAATCTCAAAACTCTTGGGCTCAAGTGATCCTCGTGCCTCAGCCTCCCAAGTAGCTAGGACTACAAGCTTCAGTGCCCAGCTAGTTGTTATTTTTGTTTGTTTGTTTGTTTCTATTTTTAATAGAGACAGTGTTTTGTTCTCAGGCTGGTCTCAAACTCCTGAGCTCAGGTAATCCACCTGCCTAGGTCTCCCAGTTTAGAAGAATTCACCAATGAATCCTAGCATCTTCTCTTTTGGAAGTTGATTGATTATTGATTCATATTTAAAAATAGATACAGACCTATTTGGAGTGTTTGTTTTCTCTGGTGTGAATGTTCGCAGGTTTTTGTCTTCTGGGATTTGGTCTGTTTCATCTAGGTTATCAGATTGTGGCCATAGAGTTGTTCATGATATTCCTTTATTACTGTAATGTCCATGGGCTCCATAGTGATGTCTCTTGTTCATCTCTGATCTGAATAATTTGTGTCTTTTTCTTAGTCTAGCTAGAGATTTTATTGATCTTTCAAATTCCAGCTTTTGGTTTCATCAGCTTTCTTTATTGATTTTGTTTTCTCCATTTACTTTTAATCCATGTGTCTTTTCATTTAAAGTGGATTTCTTGTAAACAATATATTTGGATCATTTTTGCTCCATAGTGACATCTTAATAGGTGCAGTTAGACTACTGACATTCAAGGTATTTATATTTGGATAAGTATCTCCCATAATGTTACTATTTTCTATATATTGCTCTTATTCTTTGTTCCTGTTTCTCTTCCACTTTTTCTGGCTTTTATGGTTTTAATTGGGCATTTTATATGCTTTTGTTTTCTCTCCATTCTAGCATATCAATTATCCTTTTTTTAGCGGTTGCTCTAGAATTTGCAATACACATTTACAGCTAATCCAAGCCCACTTTGAAATAATAATATACTGCTTCCTGGGCAGTTGAGTAGTACTTTACAGTAACAAAATAATCCTAATTTCTCCCTTCTATCATATACCATTTGTAGCCATACTTAGGCATGGCTTATATAAATATAGAACCTGACTATCAAGGGACTATAACAAACTGGTCAACACATGGAAGTGGTAAATATAAGAAACTAGGGCTACTCAATAAATACATGCGAGGCATGTCTGGTCTGTGAAAATTAGGTCAACTTACGGAGGTGGTCAACTATGGAGCTTCTATTATATATGTGTGTGTGTGTGTATATACACACACACATGTAAGCATATATAATACACTGTCGCTATTTTGAATTAAGAATACAAATTGGCATCATGGTTATATTGATTTCATGCAAGAACAGTTTGGTTTAACTTACTGATAAAACACTAGATCTGGTATTTGGGGTAAATTTCAAACTACTGATACAATTTATTTAGTAGTTGTAAGAGTATAGGTGTCTTTAAATAGTTTGGGTAAAATACAGAGTGTCCATAAAGTTCATGTGCAATTTAATTATATGTAATTGTTTTTTTGGTCAGTTTTTAAATTGTTGATAATACTGTACTTTTAAATTTCATGTGTCATTTATAAAATTCATCTTTGTTATTATCGTTTGTGCCTTATTTCTTCCTCAGTTTTAACAGAAGATTTTGTTTCAATAGTTTTTAAAAGAAGCAAGGTCTGTCTTTCTGTTCTTACTTGCATCTTTGTTTTCTATCATTGATTTCTGCTGTTATCTTTATTTCCTTCTTTCCATTTAATTTGGATTTATTCTGTCATTTGACTTAACCTGGGTTTTTTTGTTGTTGTTTTTCTTTTGGTTTTTTTTTTTTTTTTTGAGACAGAGTCTCACTTTTTTAATCCTCAGTAGAGTTCCATGGCGTTGTAGCTCACAGCACCCTCAAACTCTTGGGCTCAAGTGATCCTCTTGCCTCAGATTTTCAGTTTTGGTAGAGAAGGGGTCTCACTCTTATTTAGGCTGGTCTTGAACTCCTAAGCTCAAGTGATAAGCCCGCCTCAGCTTCCCAGGATTATAGGCATGAGTCACCATGCCTGGCCCATTTGACTTAATCTGAATGTTCAGTTCATTTTTTTCCCTTTGTAACAAAAGCAATTTAAGCCTAGATTTTTTTTTTTCCTAGTTATTACTTAAACTGTATCTTACAAGTCTTGGTATGTAGGCGTATGTTTTAAGTTACTAATATAATTATTTACAATATTTCTTGCTTGATCCAAGTTTAGCAGTTCTTTTTCAATTTCAAAAAATATTAAGAAATATTAAAACGATATTACTGGTTTCTTAGCTTATTTGTATTGTGGTTAGTCTGTTTGTTACCATTCCCTTAAAATTTATTACCTGACTTTATGACCTAATATGCTATATATCCATTCTCAAAAAGTATTCCATGTGCTTGAAATGAAGGTCTAGGCTCTAATTCTTGAATGCAGTACCCTAGATGTAAATCATAAGTATCATTTGGGCATTCTTCCAGTCTACACACCTTTTTTTCTCACACTGGTAAACTCCTAAGTGTGTCATTTGTATGAAACACACTGACACACCCTTTATGAATATTTTGCAGTTAGTAAACCACAAAGTTTTATGGCCCTACTTTTATTTCCCTAAGGCAAAAGAAAGCTATGGGGGGGATGAAGATTGGGGTACCCCCTTTTCTGAGACAAGACTGTCTTTTTGTCTTCCTTGGTAGAGGGCTATGACGTCCTAACTCACAACAACCTCAAACTCT